TATTTTTATGATATACCACCATAGTAACAACAAAATAGTAATAAAAAAAATAAGGAACAGTTAAATATATTGTATATTTGTCACTGTGAGTGGCCGTTGTATTGTAAACAGGTAGCTTATGATTACACATGTGCCTACATTTGTGTTTATATGATGATCTGATTCAAAATGGCTGATTGGCAGCCATTCTAGTTTTGAAATGATATCTATAACAACATGCCTGGACTGATTGCTTTACAGAAATACTACTTAAAAATGGCTGACAGTAAGAATCAGACATTTCTATTTGTTCAAACTTTCTCCCTTAGGTTCCTGAGTGTAATATCTTGGGTGAAGTTGGTAAAGGTTATAAGTATGCCATAGAGACTTTGAATGAAGGTAGAATTGGCATTGCATCACAGGTAAAGAAATGAATCATACTAGTTTGATTAATCTATGTATACTCATATACGTTGATTTGCGTTTCTTTACACTGGATAGTTAAGATTCATTACAAGGGTATATATGCACACCATGTGTTTTTGAGATTCAATTCAGTTTGAGGTTGTGCATGGACATGGGTAGTTTGTGACATCATTGTTCATGTGTTACAATTTCAAATTCTGAATTACAATTGTATGAAAATAGGTGTATGAAAATACAGTGAAAACCACAGGTACAGCATGCAGAGCAATCTGGATAGCCAAATCTTGGTGGTTTGCACTTTAATTCATTTAGTATCTGAATAAATAGTTTCCTATATTCTTTTATTAGCAAGTAAGTCTGAATATGTCAAATTTCATTTCATATTGTACTGTATGATACTGTATACTTAAAATGAATTTCTATTCAAACCTAAGAATACTATTCCAGCTTACATGTGTATATGCTAACATTTTGTAACACAGAAGTATTACTAAATTTGAATAACCTGAAACAGTTGTCAATAAAAAAGCTCTCTGCAATTCAATATCCCAATCTGTGTATAAGGCTTACTTAGAAAACCCACAATGCTTGATATTGCTCCACAGATGAATGGTTTAACACAAGGTGCTTTGAATCATGTTATTCCATACACTATAAGTAGAAAACAATTTGGACACAGTATTTTTGATTTTCAGGTGAGTTCATTTATAAATAGTATTTTACATTCCAATTTTATGCCACCGTAAATGGGAAGCTGTCAAACCCAGTGATTGTAACTTTAACTAATGCACATAATTACTATTAAATATAAATCTTTTTTGTAAATTTAATTCTGCAAGTAAACTTGTTCTAATGCTTTATTTAAAAAGAACAAAAACATTATTGACAATCTTGAGTAATAAACTGTCCGCTTATTGTGAGGGAATACAAATAATTTGATACACTAACTGAGATTCAACAGGCTAACCAACCTTAGCATATAACAAGCTAGCCAATCAGAGAGTTATTTCCTTTCTTGCCAACCAATCAGACTCTAGCATTCATAAAAACTATTGTATCAGAGGCTTGTAATCCAACTTATGTGAGAACACTTCTCTGCTTTCATCACTATCTGTTTGTTTGTAGTCTATGAATCATCAGATCTCCAAAGCTGTGATACAACTTGAAGCAGCTAAACTAATGACTTATAATGCAGCAAGGTTAAAGGATGCTGGACTTCCATTCACCAAGGAGGCAGCCATGGCAAAGTACATGTCCTCTGAGGTAATCACTTTGTTTCCATGGTGACAGCTGTTACTCATTATATATGCTTGTATGATAATAGTTGCATGACTCAGTGTTGTGTTGTGTTGTGTTTTGATTGGCTGATGCATTGAATTTTCAGTTTGGCTGTAGTCTCGTATCAGTGCACGAAAAGTTCATCCAACAAGATCTTGAAATAGTTCAGGTTGTTATGCATATATTTCTACAACTTACTGCAACAGAAAGTTGAATAGTAGCAGGTCACAAATACCCCCCTCCCCTAAACAATATATCAAAAATCTGTTAAAGAAAATCATATTGTTCAATCATTATTTATTTAAAAGTCAAGGGTTCTACTAGTCAGCAGTTATGTAACAGGCATTTAACTTAATTTAATAAATGGAAGCATGTGCACATGATTGGCTTGTCCCGAACGTTGGGGAAAAATTACACTTGTTCTCATTAATATATTACTATATAAACCATGCACAGCAAAGTGTCGGCTCCCTAGCTTTCTCAAGTCAGACTCATGTGATGCAGGATGTCCAAATATCCACACAATGTTTTGACTTTTGTTTGTCATGTTTGATTTCATGACCAACACAGGATCTCGCAGTGAATAAAAAATTACCTATTAGATTTAACTTTTTGTATCATATTTTGTTTATATTAGACGGCATCATGGGTGACATCTAAGTGTATTGATTGGATGGGAGGTTTGGGGATAACTAAAGGTTTCCAAGTTGAAAAATATTTCAGAGATTGTAAAGTAGGTGAGTAAACTCTGAGGTCAATAACAGCGACTTCGTAATTGTTTGTTGTTCTAATGGGTTGGAAGTATGGACCTAGATCTAATGGTTTTAGTGCACCTGCCTAATAACTTTGTTACAAATCATCAATAGCACACATTTATATCAACTTCGCAGTCTTTAGATTGATTACTGTGGTTTTAAATAATTGTTAATGGGATTCTTATTTGTTTATATATACAGGGACTATCTATGAAGGGACTTCTAATATACAGTTAAACACTATTGCCAAGTTTTTAAGACAAGAATATGCCGAATAAAAGTTGAAAGAAATGATGAAAACAGGTAAATATATTTTGTGAATTGCTTTGATTGTTGAATGTGTATATGACACTATACAACTTGAAGTAACGAAAAGGATAAGATTCCATATAGCCATATATTTTACAGAACAGAGAATATATTGTCCAGATACAATAGGTTATATGCACTGCTACATGTTTAACCATAATTTTATATGTATTCTAGGTGATGGAATAATGTTGAATATATCTTAGTGGACTACTGTTGGAATTGTTTGAATCCCTACAACTTGTGATGAATCCTGCCTTTACAGATTTTCTTGATCTTCCTGATATACTGCCTTTCTGTACAATGTTGGTATTCACTCAATCGATGACTGAATACAAGTCTTACTAAGTATGGAATATGCTTGCAGTTCAATTACTCGTACTGTCATGTGGCTAAATGAATGTGGTCTATAACTCAAAAATAACTTCCCTGATGGGATGATAGTGGTGATGGGAGTCAGAATTATACATAAGAATAGTTTCCATGGGAGGTAGCATTGTTGTTTTCACTCTCAAAATTCTGAAGATTTGTTTTTATGAAGCTAAACCTTCCTGTGACCACCTGTCAGATTTGCATGCATCTTTCCAAAAAAGTTTGTGTTGACAAAATTAGCAAGTCATTGTCAATGACACGTCCCCGTTCCGTTCATATTTGAGTGACATATACATTCAAAGCAGATCATGACCGAAATGCACCTGCATATGTACAACACATTGTACCAAATTTGAACGAAATCCGTCCATGCATAACTGAGATCCGGGTCCGGAATGGTGAAAATGTGTGATTTTGATGCATTTTCGGCCTTAAAATGGCCATCATTCAGCTATTGTTAAGCGGACCATGAAACAAATGCACATATCTATTTGTGACATGATGTACCATGTGTGTGTGAAGTTTGAACTTGATCAATCCAGACATGTCTTGGATACGGATCCAGAACTGAATTCTTTACAACAAAATAGCCGCCAGTCGGCCATTTCAAACTTGATCCGAAAAAAAAATGACGTGCATCAAGGTCCTATTATGTTTAATGTATGTACCAAATTTGAACGAAATCCGTCCATGCATAACTGAGATCCGGGTCCGGAGAAAATGTGCGATTTCAATGCATTTTCGGCCTTAAAGCGGCCGCCATTTGGCTATCGTTAATGAGATCATGAAACAAATGCACATACATATTTGTGACATGATGTACCTTGTGTGTGTGTGAAGTTTGAACTCGATCAATCCAATCATGTCTCAGATACGAATCCAGAACTGAATTCTTTAAAACAAAATGGCCGCCAGTCGGCCATTTCAAACCCGATCAAAACAAAAAATGACGTGCATCAAGGTCCTATTATGTTTAATGTATGTACCAAATTTGAACGAAATCCGTCCATGCATAACTGAGATCCGGGTCCGGAATGGTGAAAATGTGTGATTTTGATGCATTTTCGGACTTAAAATGGCCGCTATTCGGTTATCGTTAATCGGATCATGAAAAAAATGCATGTGCATATGTCCCATATAATGTGTGATGTATGAGTGAAGTTTGAACTTAATCGGTCCATGCATGCTCGAGATACAGGTCACAGATCACGCACACACACACGCACGCATGCACAACGGGGACTAAAAAAAGTGACACACTTGTTGATAACTTCATGAATGTTCAGTTTGAATCATGATGTATTTATGATGTTTCCATGTTTAAATTCCATAATGGATAAAATTCACCTTCATTCTAAATGCTTTTGGGGTTTCACATATACATGTACTTGTTGTTTTGCCAATTCCCTCAAGCTGGTAACAAAGTACAGTGAAGATTTGTTTTCCTTTCTGTTATATTTTTTAGCTTTTCAAGAATCAATCACATAAAGTACATACAATTTTGTTTCTCTGACAGAGATAAATTCAAGTAAAGCAGTACATCCCTGCTTGTCAATTCCTTTCTAAATAATTTTGCAATTAAGAGGAAAACTTGCTAGCATTTCACAAAGTACAGTGGCATTTTGTTGATTCATTTCAGTGACTGCATATAGTAACCCAATAACCTGCTTTATTGTTGTGTGTGACCAATTTACACAAAGTTGTAAATGAATGACCACATAAAATACTCGAATCTGGGGTACCGAGTGTTGGCCAAGTTACTCACAATTGCAAAAGCCAAAACTGTTCTTTAAAACCATTCACTCCATTTCATGTATCAGGAGTACATTCAAGACAAACAGTTGATTAGATTGTTTATGCTAACATTTGTTAACAGGACTTTTACATATATGTTTGTGCTTCGAGAGAGCAAATACATGTGAAATGTCCTTGAATTGTACATACATTGTAAAGATATTATATAATAAAGACTAATTTACACTAGTTTTGTTGTTGTGTGCAACTGTCCTTGGGCTATCTATGATCTACACATGTTACATTGCATCTAGTTTTTGATGTAATGTTTTGAAATGTAGAACAGCCGACTATAAATGGAACAATTTTGTGGGCGATGCCTGAAATTGACACTTAATTGATTTATCTCATTGCAGTTCATTTGTTCACTGGGTTTGTCTGGCATATATGTCTTTGATATTGTTAAAAAACGTTTGTATTTTCAAGAATCTGGTATGTTTGTTCAGATTAGTCAGTGAAAGGAAATGCTAAATATATTATTTCTGAAAATATATAATGATTGACACGGTGATTTAACTATTAAACCTAGCTGTACAACGGTAATTCGTCACGTCTGACATGAGCTAGTAAGCAAGCAAACTGTCCAACTTAATAAGCCAGTGAACAATGGTCTTTACCATCCACCATGATTAATTGGTGAATATCAGTCGTGTTTAAACAAATAGTATTGAGTTTTTTGTGCATAATGCATTGCGGATGAACTAATTAGATGAGAAGATCATGAAAGAAGCTAAAAGAAAATATAAAACATTTTCAGACCTATGTAATATCAGAACTCTATCAACATCGTGTTTCTTTAGAAATTTCACACCTGTATACGGGTATACTTCATCCAAATCATGCTCTCATGATCCACTTCTTACATTACTAAATGAAATCCGCTTGGATGTTCTCCTTCCATCAATATTAGATATCAGTGGCATTGTATCTGACAGTTTCAAACAATCATATATCATGCCTCTTCTAAAGAAGCCTAACATTCTGTTTCAATGGATGCAGAATAGATATAGAATCAGTAGAACTGCTCTGCTGTTGATAAAATTCTACTTACAAAGAGACATTACCTGATTTTTCTTCCTCTTGGATGGCTCTGTAAAGTGCTTTGAAACCTGTTTTATTTGCCCTTTATAAGAATTATCATAATTTTGATTTACTATTGCAGACTTCTCATAATATTTACACTTACAAATTACAATTTGTCTACAGTATTTTCTTGATTTGTTTCCTGTGACACTATCTTGCTATTTATGGTTCATTTATCTACAAATCTCACTCAAGTAATAATTTCTCTGACTACAGTAAATTCAAGATTTCGAGTCTGATATAATGATCTGTTCAGTATTTGCTGCCCCAAATGCTCCACATCAGTTCATAGTTTAAGTCACGCTAGTATTGAACTGGCATCTCATCCAATCACAAGTATAACAATTTTATACTTACAGTTGATAAATAAAATAAATAAATACCCAGAACTATAAAACATTTCAACAACTATTTTAATTAATAGTTTCTGCTCAGCGTACACCGATATATTTTTCACTTACATTTCATTTGAAGAAAAAAGGTTTGACCAGAAACATTTCTTTTAATAATCGTATACACGTAAATCAGGCGATATCGATGAATGACACTCGTATGACACTCAATGTATTGTATGTATGTAATGTGCGTTCTCATAAAACAAAAGGTTTGCACTTTTTAATATAAATCTGATAAAGTGAATTGATTATAGTTACATTATTGGCAAAGCGATTAAGTTTCTGAATTTGATAAATTATTCCCTACACCTCATAATAAATAATAATAAGCATGCTGCATTAACTAATATCGGTTTTCAAGGACACGGTGTTTAATTTAAAGTCAACGTAAAATAAAATAACTTAATAATCAATAACAAGTCTCGTTCACATTTGTTTGAACATTTACTCCTGACTCTGCAGAAAATTCCTTTTTTCTTCTCTTGTATTCCGTTTTGAAGAATATCACAAATATTATAAAAGAAACTGTGAGTAAGGCTCCAGAAAATATTGTGGACACTACAAATAAAACAAAACAAAAAAATAAATGCATCTCTGAGTCAAACACCACTAAAATAGAACTGCAAGAACGTTGCATATCCAAGCGTTTAAAAGACGTACCTGTCATATCTTGTGCGTCTTGAACACATGTTTGTGTTTTCATTTTATACGCCGGTAATGGTCGTTTAAGTGCTTGCATTATAAAAGTATAAGCTATTCCTTGTATATGACTGAAACCAAATTAACAAATATCAAAGACAAGCCTGTTTCTATACACGAGATTTAGTATATAATTGTGGTGTGTGATGTACGT